ACTGACTATAACCTGGTGTTTTCAGTGAATAACTGTGTTGGATGATTGAAGCTAATGAGGTCCAGATTAATCGCTGGTGTTCGTTAGACGATTCCACCGTTAGCGAGCAGCTGAAGGCAGTGACAGTAAGCGGCTATAATCTCCTCCTGCTGCAGTAAATGGATTACCGTCAGAGCAGCACAGAAACCAGCAGACAAACCAACGGCACAAAGAAGAAAAGCAGAGACACCGAGGCGGAATCGCTGAAGGTGGATGAAGAGCCACAGAACTTTGCGTTGACCCTGGATGAATGTTCAGAGATCGACCATCGGGCCGATCAGCTGCTCTGATAATCCCACCTCCTGGCTGCCACACACCGACTGTTCACTCACCTGTGACCCAGCCGCCTTTATCAGCTGTAATTTAAAACTTGTTCAGCACCGTTTTAAGTTAGCCTGGCTATACCCACGGTAGCCAGAATTTAGCTTAACCTGACTGCAGCTTCATGTAGCTCAGGACAAAGTTAGCTTGCTGCTGAAGTAGAAGTAGCTGTTCTTGTGATGGATCCAGACAAAGAAGAAGCTGAAGTATTTTTAGACCCGATCCCTCTGCTCGCAGAGGAGGACGATGAGGAGGAAAAGGAGGAAGAGGAGGAGGACGACGATGAGGAGGATGCCAAGATCTTCAACGCTTGGATGCAGCGGTACAGAAGTGGAGAACCTCAGAAGAAACCTGCTGACGAGGAGGAGGAGAAAGAGGAGTCAGAAGGAGGAAGACCTGAAAGCAGGAGAAGCGTAGAACCACCGGTCCGGATGAAGGCCGACCGCCGGGCGTCGCTGCCGTGTCCGGTAAGAAAAGCCACCAGCAGAGTGTAACGTGTAGTTCAGTCGCTGTTGTTGGACATCTTCATTCTTTTAAATTCACGAGCCAGTGATTCTGTGAAGCATCTTTAAAAGTGTTCACACAGAGTCCGCCTGGGACGTTCTGCAGCGTCCCGCCGTAGAACTTTAAGGACTGAGAAGTTCCTCAAACGTTCACAGTTCTAGAGGCAACCGGGGGAAGGTCAGGGCTGAAGCCAGAAGCTGCTGACATTATTTATCATGATTTCATCGCAGTACTGGAACTCTTTATGAGGCAGCAGAAGCAAACGAACCAGTTTTCAATGACTTTGGTGAAAGCATACCTGCTGTCCATCAGGAAACAGGTCCGTCTGCACCTTCATGAGTCCATGACTGTCCACTACTCTGCCTCCAGCACACTCTTCCAGAAGATCTCACACCACCTGTCTGTCATATGGGGGCTCATTACTGTCGGTGCTGTTGTGCTGAACATAAACACAAAGATCCTCATGTCCACAAGAAGTCTGGAGTACAACGGCCTGCCTGTGGAGGTGTTAATTGGAGGAACCTGTCACAGATCAGGAACACCTTGAGAAGAGCTGAAGGATCTTCCTGGTCTGCTGAGACTTTAATTGTTCAGCACTGACAGGCTGGCGGAGAGCGGTCTGACTGCAGCATCATTCTGCCAAAGACAAATCAAGCCGACACGTTTGTATCTGTTAAACCAATCACAATCAGCGGCACTACCAACAGCTTGCTTTGGTGGAACATTTGCAGGGAGAAGAGCTGCCAGTAAAATGGATAAGTTAGTGAATGACCGTCCAAACCTTCAGCTAGCTCCAGGTTTCAGAGTTAACCAGCAGCACAGACACATGAAACTGGGAGCTTTAGTCTGTAGCACGAGAGCTTGGCTGATTGGCTGATTGGTCACCATGAGCTCTGATTGGTTGGTTTTTATCTTGCAGTTCGCAGGAATAAGTGAGATCAGCTTGTTGAGTGGCTTCAGTTTGTTCACAGCAGCAGATCTTTCCCATCTTCCATTTTTAGCTGCGGCTCAGTTGGCTCAGAGCGCTCTGTTCCAGTTGGGTGTTAAAGAGAGCTGCAGCCTCTCAGAGCCTCTAATGAGGCTTTTACACTCGTGTTGACGGGATCACCGAGATTATTTAGCCAAGAAGCTAATTATAAGCAGAGGAGGAAAAAGCAAACGTTTCAGAAGGTAGCTGAGCTAAGAAACAGTGAAATCATCTGATATTTACGCTCGTCTGTTTCTTTTGTTGCTCATAATTTGCATTTCCTGACTTCTGTCCTTTATTATTGAAACCGTTCAAACCATTTGTTGATCTTTTACTCTGTTTTTTTTCAATTCTTCTACAATATACAACAGCAATGAGTCAACCCCTGTGCACAGTAATCAGATTACTTCTACAGCAGAGTACTGTCTCTGATACCAGATTACAAACTACCAGCTCAGATCCACAGATTACCTTCAGGCTCCACAGCAGGACCTGAATGACAGTCAGTCCATCTCTGGTTCCTTCAGTCTTCATCTGCTGACAGACTCAGTCCTCCTCAGCATGGAGGAGACCAGAGTCCACTAAGGTCTGCTCTCTGCTGGAGGGGTTGTGCTGCTCTACCTTTCTCTGGAAAACACCTCAAAGAGCTTCTGGTGGACTCAGACCAGGACTCACACTGTTCAGGTCCTGGTTCCACTTGGTTCTGGTGTAGAAGCTCTTGATGATGTTGTTCTCTGGATGTTCTCCTGCTGGAATGTTCCTCTTCTTCATCTGGTCAGCCAGTATCCTGGTTCATCCTCAGACATTCATGGAGCTTCTAGAAACGTCATCAACACCTTCTGCCCTCATGCAGCCCCACATCATGATGCTCCACCTCCGTGCTTCA